ATTCATCACATTTTCTTGTTTTGAAGCAGAATATGTGATATGTGTTAGAATAGATATGAAAGCTTTGGAAGATTTTTTTTTCCCAAATACTTGATTCTGAGTTGTAGAAATAACCTCTGTCTTCATTATTTTTTAACCTTGTTTCTAATAGTGTGTAGACATCAATTTTATAGCTGTTTTACAGAAAACCCAATTAGTGGTCATGGGTACAGTGGGAGTTTTCTTTCCTATATATTGATAGTTACCTCTTGGGTGGATGGATCATCTTTGTGCTTTGGATTCAATAAACTAAGCAGTGAGTTTGACTAAAAACTAAGTTCCAGGTGAGTTATGTACTTACCTGTTTAGAAAATGAGGTCTATAATGCCATTTCTCTGTGTAAATCATCTTTGCTAAGGATAGTTTGATAATCACATGTGAATGGAATCTGAAGAAACCATAGTAGAGCCCAAAGCCAGCCTTACCTTACATTTTGTGTCATGATTCAGCTGCTGCTGTTTCCCTGAGCATACTAAGAAGAAAAGCCATGGTCTTCCTTTACGGTAAAACTATTGCCTCTATCTTTTAAAAAACAAAACAAAAACAAACAAACAAAAAAACAATACCAAGTTAGTGTTGGACACTACTAGGTTCGTGGGGGTATAGAATGAATTAGATACAATTTATTTTTTTGCCTTCAAGATACTTTAGACTAGTTGACTTGGGGACAAACAAGCGAGCCAAGCAACTTGCAGTTCACTTTAGAGGTGAGAAATTCCATGCACTGTGTTGGATAGTTCTTAAGGGAGGGAGTCCCACAAGCTCTTCAGCAGAGGGCCGGATAAACCTGAACTTGTTTTCCTGGGAATAAAATCAGCCATCTCCCCACAAAGGCACTGTGTAACTGGGTAGCTGACTGAGCTGCTGTTCACTCCTGTTATGTTGTATCAGAATGTGCTTTTACCAGCGGGGTTGGCTCTGGCATTTCTCTTCTTGGCTGCGTCACTCTTTACTTCTGTGCACAGGAACAGAGGTCACTGGTACTAGACTGCTGTCAGCTAATAGTACACCAGTGTGGGGGGTGGGGGGCTGAGCATGCTGTTCCTTCTGTTCATATAGGTAACCTGGGTGAGGAGGAAATCCAGGAGAGGATAAAAGGGAGTTCTTTCCCCTATTTTCCTATAATACCTTCCCGTAATACATTTAATATTACCTTACTGCTAATGAATCAGCTACAGTTTCATTAATTAAGCATAAGGATGTGTCCTTTTGACCCTGAGGTAGAGAATACATTTCTATGACTTATTTTATTTTTTTATTTGCAGAGAGTGCATGCACTTGCCAGAAAAAAAGAGTGTGTACAAGCACTTCACCCCTCAATCCTTTTTACCTCTCTCTCTCCATTGTGTCAGGGTCACATCTGGCATGTTCTTCACTGTCGTTAGCCTTATGGGTTCCCCATGCCCAGGGCTTAATTGCTGCACAACAGGGCTGGCCTATGACTTATTTTCATCTTTGAAAAAAATGCTGGCTAGAGAGAATATTATTAAATTTTTTTTTGAGAAGTTTTTGCTATAGGGCACGTGCGCTCGCCAGACAGAGACAGACAGAAAGCGAGAAATCACCCCCCAGGGGGGATGGCCACGCCGCAATCCCTTCTTCTCCATTCTCTCGGGATCTTGGGCACGCACACACACGCGCCCGGTGTGAGTTTTAAGCTACCAGGTCTGGGACGTGAACCGCGGTCGACTACGTGGCAGTCCAGCGACATAGCCATTATGCTAACTGCTGGTCCCTAATATTATTAATTTTTAAAATTAAAATTTAAATTCATGTTAAGTTATAAGTGATAGTAATTTTTTTTTTTTTTTGGAGAGGTTTTTGCTATAGGGAGGTGTGCTCGCCAAATAGAGAGAAACAGAGAGACAGAAAGTGAGAAATCACCCCCCGGGGGGATGGCCACAATCCCTTCTCCTCCATTCTCCTCTTGGGATCTTAGGCATGCACGCACATGCGCCCAGCGTGAGTTTTAAGCCACCGGGTCCAGGACTTGAACCGCGGTCAACTACATGGGAGTCCAGCAACATAGCTATTACACTAACTGCTGGTCCCAGTGATAGTAATTTTTTGATGCCCAGTTTCCTGTGTAAGGGTGATTTATGTCACCACTTGATGACGTTCTTTACTATGGAAGTGCATTGCAAAAAAGTATAAGGTTAACTAGTATAACTAATTAGAAGTTATCATTAGAGCTGTTCAAATAACTATTAATAAACGATAGCAAAACTAATTAGACATTATCATTAGAGCTGTTCAAATAACTCAACTATTAATAAATGATAGCAAAATAAGTAGTCTCTTCAAGTGTTTGTAGATTTTGGTTTAAACTATAACTAAGGTTTTGATATTTAAAAAATTTTTTCTCAATAGTATTCTTAAATTTTGTCTCTAGTTTTGTGTAAGCTTAGCAATATTTTGACTTAACTCTCCTATTTTACAATTTAGATAATTTAATGGAGAAAATTAAAACCACTGATAGTACTGCTGCCTACAGATAATCATGAACATTTTGATAACCTTTTTTGCTTTCCCATCATTATTTTTTGAATTTTTAAATATTTTTTAGGGTTTTTACCATGGGAGCATGTGTTTGCCAGAGAGAGAGAAACGGAGAAATCACCCCGTAGGGATGATGGCCACGCTACAATCCCTTTTCCATTCTCCTCTCGGAAGTTTGGGCACACATGCAAATGTGACTGGTGTGATTTCCAAGCCTCCAGGTCAAGGCTAGAACTGCAGTCAACCATGTGAGAGTCCAGTACTCTAACCACCATGCAACCTACTGGTCTCACACTTTTCTTTTTAAGCTCTATTTTAATTTCTAGTTAACTGTAAGCAAATATTGGGTTGATGCATCATGACTTAGTTTAATAAGACCTAGTAGTAGTTTCAACAGTTTTATAGAACATTAGAAAATTTGTCAGTTCTTTTGTTTTCAGTTTAATATACCGGCTGAGCATCCCTAATCCAAAAAATCCCAAATGGTCCAAAATCTCAATCTTTTGAGCATTGATATAATACTGCTGGTGGAAAATTCCAGCCAGACCTCATCTGATGGGTTGTAATCATAACAGTGCAACACAAAAAAACATTGTATAAATTTATCTTCTGGCTAATGTGTATAAGGTGTTTTGTTTTTGTTTTTTGGGGTTTTTTTGAGAGATTTTTGCTATATGGCAGGTATATTTGTGGGAGACAGAGAAAGAGAGACAGAAAATGAGAAATCACCCCCAGGGGGGATGGCCATACCACAATCCCTTCTCCTCCATTCTCTCATGATCTTGGGCACGCACTCAACATGTGCCTCGTGTGAGGTTTAAGCCAACTGGGTCTGGGACTTGAACCTTGGTTGACTATGTGGGAGTCCAGTGATGTAACCATCACACCATCTGCTGGTACCGTATAAGGTGTATTTTAAATTTTTTTAAATAATTGTTTGTTTTTTTTTTTTTTTTTTTTTTTTTAATGACCAGACACACAAACACACACACACATACACAGAGAGAGAGAAAAGGTGAGAAAGCAAGCCACAGGTCAGGACTGGAACTGTGGTAGGCCATGTGGGAATATCCAGTGCCTTAACCACCAAGCAGCCTGCTGGTCCCATAAAAGGTGTATTTTAAACATAAGAGAATTTCACATTTAGACTTAGATCCCCATCCCCAAGATATATTTCATTATGTATGTGTAGCATTCCAAAAATATGAAAAAAATCTGAAACATATCCAATCCCCAGCATTTCAGATGATGGATACTTAATCTATAATCTATATTTTACCTATAAAATTTATATATTAGACTGATATATATATAGTTAAAGGGGAAAAAAAGAATCATTCTAATGTTAATGGAAAGGTATTCTACTGAAAATGATAGCCTTCATTGCATACCACACACTGTGCTAAGGGCTTCATAAACAAAATCTCAGTTAATTCTTACTAAATGAGGTATGCATTATTATTCCTGTTTTACAAAGAAGGTAATTAAGGAACTGTGACATGAATTACACAGGTTTAAAACATTTGGATGAATAAAACTGATCAAAGAATGAATTAATTAAAGGTAAGGAAGGATAATTAAGAAAGTGGGTGTGTCGGGACCAGCAGTTGGTATAATGGCTATGTCACTGGACTCCCATATAGTTGACTGCGGTAAACCCGGTGGCTTAAATTCATGCCGGGTGCGTGTGTGTGCATGCCCAAGATCCCAAGAGGAGAATGGAGAAGGGATTGCAGCGTGACCATTCCCCCTTGGGTTTGATTTCTCACTTCCTGTCTGTCTCTCTCTTTCTGGCGAGCGCACACGCCATATAGCAAAAACCTCTCCAAAAAAAAGAAAAAGAAAGTGGATGTGTTTTTTTAAAAAAAGTTATATGTATAAATCGTAAAATCTTTTAACTTGATGACATTGGTTTATTGAAAAATGAAACTTTTAGGGACTAGCAGTTAGCGTAATGGCTATGTCGCTGGACTCCCATGTAGTCGACCGCAGTTCGAGTCCTGGACCCAGTGGCTTAAAAAAATAACTCACGCCAGGCGCGTGTACGTGTGTGCCCACGATCCCAAGAGGAGAATGGAGGAGAAGGGATTGCGGCGTGGCCATCCCTCCGGGGGGTGATTTCTCGCTTTCTATCTCTCTGTCTCTCTGGTGAGTGCATGCGCCTTATGGCAAAAACCTCTCCAAAAAAAAAAAAGAAACTTTCAAAGAACTCATTCCTAAAATTTCTACAGTAAGTTGTAATTTAACTTTTTGATCTTTCTAGTACTTCGTTTTTGTCTTATAATTTAAAACTTGAGTGTTTGTTTAGTGTGGAATGAAATGTTTTTAGGTATATGGATTTAAAGACAATTTATTTTGTTATACTAAGTAAGAAAAAATACCACATATAATACAGTTTTAACACAGTATTCGGTGTGTGAATGACTTAATGTAATATTTGAACTTTCTTTTTTTGTCCTTAGGAAGGTTATATTCAAAAGAAAAAGCAATTGTGGGGAATCTGTATCTTTATTGCAGCAGTTGACCTAGATGAGATGCCATTCACTTTTACTGAGTTACTGAAAAACACAGAAACCAGGTAAAATTTCTTATATAAATATAGGCCTCTGTTATTAAAGAAGACTGCTTCTGGGGTTTCCTCTTAATAGACTTTAGGGGAATATGTCAGAAATGCTAAAATTAACTAAAACGTAAAGACTTGAAAAAAGTGAACTGTCATTCTGTTATGATGACCTTAATGAAATTACATTTATGCCAGATTTTCTGAAAAATATAGCAATTTGTGTCCTGGGAAATTTTTCATCGTCTCATTATTCATTTGTAAACTTCCTTAATTATATAGCTACTGATAAAGTGGACAGAAAGATTATAATGTAGTGTATTATATATTAAAATCCTTATGAAAATAATATGAATATGAGTTTGTCTTACAGGACTTTATATAAGATTTATTACATATAAGATTGTTTACTATAGTAGGTATTGTGTGCATCTTTCAGACTATACATTCAGTTGAGTAGCAACAACATTTGATCCAAGAATTATTTTGTTATGCACTAATATTTATGGTTGAGCATATAAGCCTTTTTAAAAAAGAATTATTTCATTTAATTTTATTATTATTATTATTATTAAATTTGACCAGAGAGAGACAGAGAGAAGGGTGAAAAAGCAAGCTGCCAGTTTTGGGACTTGAACTGTCGTTAGTGATATGAGAGTCCAGTGCATTAACCAACTCCACCTGCTGATTCCATGTATAAGCCTTTTAAGAAAAGCTTACCAATTTGTTTCCAGTAACTCGTAAACTTTATCTCAAGATACCTTCTAGGACTTCCAATCATTTCCTTTGCAGCATATTTACAAAATACAACATAAACAATTTTAACAAATCAGCAGTTACATATAAAGGGTTTTCAGAAAGGTCATAGGGGAAAATAAGTCCATTTTGAAAAACTATGTATGGATTTCAAGAATTTCTTGCGCTATGATAAATTCACACTCTAAATCCATTTTTCCATGAACTTTCTGAAGACTCCTTATATTTCTTCTATAATAAAGCCATCTAGAATGTAATAGATTAAATTGCTGCCTTTTTTATAGTGCTTTATCTTTTTATATAAAGAATAATTTTTAAAAATTTTATTCACTGTCATTTTTTTTTTTGAGAGTCTTTTGCTATAGGGCACATGTGCTCACCAGAAAGACAGAGACAGAAAGCGAGAAATCACACCCAAGATGGGATGGCCACGCCGCAATCCCTTCTCCTCCAATTCTTCTCTTGGGATCTTGGGCACGCATGCACGCACATGCACCTGGCATGAGTTTAAGCCACCAAGTCCAGAGCTCAAACGTGGTCGACTTCATGGGAGCCCAGAGACATAGCCATTACACGAAATGCTGGTCCCTCACTGTCATTATATTTATTTATTTATTTTTGAAGCTGACCAGAGAGAGACAAGAGAGAAGGAAAGTGAGAAAGCAAGCTGCCACATCTAGGGCTCAACCGCAGTCAGCCATGTGGGAGCCCAGCAACCCTAAGCACCATGATAACTGTCGGCTTCATTATAGTGCTTTTTCTTACTGTCTCTAAATACAATGGGGAAACAAAGACCTTGTATATTTATAAATATCCAAAATAGGGGGCTTGCAAGTGACGTGGTGGGTAAGGGCGCTGGATTCCCACATGGCCGACCATGGTTCAAATCTCGGACCTGGCCACTTGCTTTCACACTGTCCCTTTCTCCTGTGTGCTCTCTCACTCTCTTGCTCTGTCCCTCTCTGGTCAAATTAAAATAAATAAATAAGTAAATAAAGTTAAATAGAATAATTATTTATTTATAAAAATCTAAAATAATATAATTATTATAAATAGTTCATAAAGTCAATGTACCACCACAGGGCCACCCGTCTTCGCTCCCTTCCTTCCTTTCTTCCCTCCCTCCATTAAGTTACAAGCCTAGACAAAGAGGCCTTGTTGGAACAATTCAGTTTTTCATGGTACTACAAGGACAAGAATTGTCATACACCTCATAAACACTGGAACTGAGAATGAAATCTTTAATAAGTGCTATTCTAAGGTTGATTTCTTTTTCTCAGAATATGTTTGTGTATTTATTCTATTTTCTTTTAAAAAAATAATTATTTATTTAACCTTATCCACTATTATTTTAATTTGACCAGAGGGAGAGGGAAAAGTGAGAAAGCAAGCCACCAGGTCCAGGACTCCGACTGCAGTCGGACATATGGGAGTCCAGCACTCCAACCATTTGCTGGACTCTCTTTTCTAATCACTAGTCTGGTCTTCTGTGTAATTTTTATCCCTTCCTTATTTGCTTTTCCACAAAGTTTTAGTGAAGAGGTTGGCTGCCCAATCTCTTCATAATAGGAATTTTTAATAAACGTTTTGTTGTTGTTCTATGCCCTCTGCTGATTAGCTGAAGCTTCAGCTTGTACAGTTCTTGAGATAAGTGTATGACTGGTCCAGCCCATTTTCTGGAATGAAGACTATAATTCATTGGTTGCTAGACAACCTAGGAATGGGTCTGGGGACTACGCTTTGGTTCGTTTGGCTGCTTTGGTATAATTTCTTACACAAGCTTGATTAGAAACGTTTGTGAGATGTAGCTGATGATTGCTGTCTCTGGTGCCCTATTGGAAAGTGAATGTATGATAGTCCCTCCTCATCCATGGGGGATAGGTTCTAAGATCCCCAGTGGATACCTGAAACCACAACTAGTACTCAATTTGATAGACGTGTTTTATATATTTTTTTTATCTGATAACCAAGACAGCTACCAGGTGACTAATGGGTGGGTAGCATATATACTGGGTCATGGAAAAGTCACGATGTGTTTTTGAATAGGAAAACATAGAAAAATATGTCACAACCTTTCCAACAACCCAGTATATGGTAAAGATACTAGACAAAAGGATGATTCACATCTTGGTTCCGAATGAGCAGGGTGGCATGAGATTTCATCATGCTACTCATAATGGGGGGCAATTTAAGAATAATGAATGGTTTATTTCTGCAATTTTCCAGTGAATATTTTTGGACTGCAGTTGACCACAGATAATAAACTAGAGAAAGCAAAACCATGGATAAGTGGGGACTACTGCATTGATGTTTCAAATAGGTTAATGTCTTAAAATTTTATTTAATTTTATTATTCATTTTATTATTATTTTAATTCACTAGAGAGACACAAAGAGAGCAAGGGAAAATGAGAAAGCAAACCACCAGGTCCAGGACTTGAACCATGGTTGGCCATGTGGGAGTTCAGCACCTTTAAGTAGGTTAATTTCTATAGAAAACACTAAAGAATGACTTAGAGTCATTATATTTATAAATAACTTAAAATTTAAAAAAATTTATTTATTTATTTATTTATATTTGATCAGAAAGGGACAGAACAAGCAAGTGAGCAAGTGAGAGAGAGGGAAAGTGAGAAAGCAAGCCACCAGGTCCAGGGCTCAAATCATGATTGGGTCATGTGGGCATCCAGCACCCTTAACCACCTCTGTCATGTAGGTACACATACCCTCTGGCAAAAATAGATAGGTAGCTATAGAAATAAACGTACATGTCTGTGTTCCCTCATGATCCTTTTAAAAATATTCTTAACCATAAATAACTATAAGTATAGAGATATAAATAAAGGGATATAAGTTGAAGGTTTTTTTTTCCTCTTCAAATTTTAGGAAAATGCTAAAAGTAATTCATTGAAAAGGGCTATAATATTGATTTGGTATAGAGCTAATAATCTTTTGAGTTGAAATGTCTTTGCTTGGGGCCAGCAGGTGGCATGGTGGTTGAGGGCGCTGGACTCCCACATGACCAACCACGGTTTGGGTCCTGGACCTGACAGCTTGCTTTCTCACTCTCTCTCTCTCTGTCTCACTCTATCCCTCTGTGGTCAAATTAAAAAGCAAAAATAGGGAACCAGCAGTTAGCGTAATGGCTATGTCGCTGGACTCCCACGTAGTCGACCGCGGTTCGGGTCCCGGACC